ACAATGAGGCCTGGTTTTTGCCAAGTACTGATGCTGCTAAACAGCTGCTGAGGTGGATGAGGTAAACAACAACACCCTGCTTGGTTAGGACTAATGGAGTTTTCAGGGGAAGGACTGACATATATGCAATCCCATCCACTTTTTGGACAACATTTGTTTCTTAATTAATCAATGTATACTATATTGTAGTACTGACACACAACATTCGTCCAACTCAACCATGTAACCCTGCTCCTTATGTTAGTGTCATTAAAAAATAACTTTCTTTAATTTAAAGGCAAAATAAGTCGATCAGAAACCATATATTGACATTTGGTCCCAAACTAGCTAGCCCCTTGTGAGTGAGAGCCAGACTTGAAACATTGCTACCCACAGTTACTTTTAAATATTTCAAATGTAAAGCATTTATTAACGGTGTTATTTAATTGTATATATTGTATATCAATGCATATTATTACATGTTACATGGTACAAAAGTGTTTTTACAATACCTTACAATAGCATTTTTTATACTTTACTGGTCAAAAAATTGGGTCGCAAGTAATGTTTTTTCAAAAAGAAATCTCTTATACGTTTACCAAAGCTTGCTTGCTTGCTGAATGATTGATTGATTGATTGATTGATTGAAAAATCCATGTTAAAAACAATTGTGATGCTTAATATTTTTGTGGTAACTATGATACATGCTACAAGATTATTTGATAAACAGAAAGTTCAAAATAACAGCAATTATATCAAATGAAATAGAAATGTTTTGTCCCCTCATTCTCAAAGCTCCGGCACTTTTTGCACAGTTTGCAGGTGATAAATCCAACATGGCTAACTCGGAGAGTATTACACTATTCACTTTCATCGTTAGCTGTTCAACATCATGTACCACTAAAAGGCCGTATATCAACAATGAACTCCGAAAGCATGGCCGCTCCTTTGAGATAGGATGGGAAAGAGAATTAGAGAAAGAATGAGAGAGACAGTTGAAGGGGAGGGAGGGAGAGAGAGACTGAGAGAGAGAATTGAGATAGCATGCGCTAGTATAAAAAAAAAGGAATAGCATGCGCTAGTGTAAAAAAAAAAAAAGGCAGTAACTTTAAAAATTAATTATGCATTCACACAGGGGTGAAGAGAAACACTACTACCAGAAGGAAGAGGGGATCTAATGAAACCAGCATGCAGTGGATGTTCAGCTCCATCGTCTTCATAACACAGGCTCTCTGAGGAATATCCCCCTTCAACTTATTCTCCCTGCTTTAACCTGGCATAATTAGCATGCTTTCTCAATTTTTAGCTTAATGAGGTATACATAACCTTGGATTTCCAGTAATGAACGAGCTGAAGGCGGACTGGCATGAAGTCATCATGCCACATAATTTTGGGAAGGGGGAAAAAAACATTCATTTCAAATGCATATGTATTTCGTGTAGGGTTATCTCATTAAATCACTGATTTAAAAAAAAAAAAGAAGAAGAAGATGAGAGAAAAAAATGCACAAAAATTAAAAAGCAGTTTCCACAAATAGGGTACACTGATGTCCCATACTCTACAATTTAACCCTGTTACCAAAGTTATTGAAATTAATTATTAAAATTAAACTAATTCATTGTAAATATTTATCTATCCCTAGTTAATTAAAACCTAATTTAGAAATCTTGACATAATTTTACTCATAAATCTTATAAATGATTACAAATTACTAAATAATAGTAATAATAATAATATTTTTTTTATATATATAATTTTCACTCAAATCAAGGTTTTAAACTGTATTTACATATGTCCAGTTGGTATTAGTCTCATATAATATAGTTTAACCATCAACATTTTCTAAAGGCTATGCACTCATTAGTTGACTTTTTTGTATCCACTCTGAATTATTGCTAGAAAATAACATCACTCAAATCAAGGATTTAAACTCTATTTACACAGATCTGCATGCTCGTATAGTGTTTAGTTTAACGATGAACATTTTCTAAATGCTCTGCCCTCTATTGGCTGACCTTAGACCCTATTTTGTATCCTACTTGAGCAAAGTGACAAAAGCCCTGCATTAAAAAGCTAATGTTCAGAACTATTCTTTGGCTCAATGGCCATTTTACATTCATCTCAGAGAGTGGGAAAAGAAGTTACAAAATGAAACTTTCTTATAAAATCGAATAAAAGTGATACTCTTCACTGAGAGACTGATATAAGGTATTCCAGACGCTAACAGGAGGCGTTTTAGAGAGAGGAGCAAGGTTATGCAAATCTAGCCGTCAAACAGAGCACAAGGCTGAGTAAGCCACTGACAGCCCATAGCATGCACAACTTGTCCATTCAGCTGCCACAGACTCCAGAGACTCTGAAACAGACAGCGCTATCACAGCCTGCTGCCTGCTGTCAATATCCAATGAAACCCTCTGCACACTTCTAATGCATTCAAACCTTCAAAACCACAGACAAGATACAAAATCATGGTATTATAGTACAAGCCCAAGCGCTATTTGATGGTCTAGATGACACTATGTCACAGTGTGAAATCATTTATTGCGTCTAAAAACGTTTCGAGTAAAGACAAGCGAAAGGTCTTACGCTCATTGAAGGTATATTCAAACTCATCCAGAGTTTCAGGAAAGTTCAGTGGAGGCTCGTCTTTTTTCATCAGCTCGTCTAAATCTATCCTGGACAGCAAATCTAGAAAACAAATGAATTTATTCATGTTTTAAATAAAAAAATGTAATAAGCACACAAAACATCCCCCTTAAAAATGTGATTTAATTTGTATCTGATTTCTATTTGTATGTATATTCACGCACAGTGTGTATTCATAACTGCTGGCTTTACCTTTTAGTGCAGTAGTTTTTTCTTTTTCTTCTTGTGCCAAGAGCTGGGCCATAGTTATCCAAACTAAACAGAAGAGGAAGATGCTGGCTCTGGCAGGCATGGACACACCACTACAGAAATATTACTGCATGTCACCCTGATCAAGAATAAATACATATAAATACACAAACAAACAAACAAGCTTCCAATGCTAAGACCTTTATTGTAACAACACCCATCACAAAAAGTTTGCCTGAAAATTCATTACCATGAATGCATATAAAGCATGATTATCGCATTATAAAAAATATATAATGTAATATCAACAGTAACTATAACAGTTACTAAATTATAAAGCAGTAATATTCAAATATTTCAAACATTATACTGGTTGTCAAACTGCTACAGAGGTGTCACAAATCATTAAAATAATAAAAAATAGTGGTAACACTTTATTTTAGGGTCTCTTAACTAGTTGCTTATGAGCATGCATATTACTAGAATATTAGCCATTTATTAGTAGTAATTAAGCACATATTAATGGCTTACTCAACATGACCTTATTCTACATCCCTAATTCTACCCAATACCTAAACTTAACAACTACCTTATTAACTATCAATAAGCAGCACATTAAGAATTTATTGAGGGAAAATTCGTAGTTAATAGTGAGTAAGTGTTCCCTATTCTAAAGAGTTACCAAAATAGTCAATACAAAGTTTTTTAAAACAACTTTTGCAACTCAATCACAAAACATTCAAACATATATGATATATTATAATGCATATTACATTTCGATTTATCAGTTAAATCATGTTTCAATAATATTAATACCGTCAACAACAATCAATAATGTTTGGGACAATGTACACTTGTCCCATGACAAACAGCTGACCAAAAATATAATAATATACTAAATGTATTTAATGATAGGTAACCACGTGTCATTTTGATGATTAACGATTTGATTATATACTGACTTTTTGACAAATTAAGAAACATCAATATTGAGAGAGAAATTGTTTACTTGTTGGGCAATGTAGCTTTTAAAGTTTCTAGCTTCTGATCTGCTCGTGCGCAAGCAGTCAAACGTAAAAGTCGTTGAGTTGAATCTAATCGTACTTCTATGGCAGTGCAATTTGATCTGTCAGGTCAGACTGTCTTCATGCTGGTAACTAGCATTGAGCTAACAGCTTGCTTCAGGTCTAAAAGCAAGCGTGCTGAAGTGAGAGACTCGCATGCACCTGAACATCAGTGTCTGCATTTCGAGAAACACAGTGGAAGCAGCGATCTATGTTTTACTATGTTTACGGAGCATGTAAACATAGTAAAGGATTCCCTGCATGGACCCCAGCCAGTGTTTATAAACAACTACTCATCACACAAATGGGAGACACAAAACTTCACAAAGCACAGATAGTTAAAACAACAGCGATACGGGTCACCCTGCTGAAGAGCTAGACGAAGACAGTGGGAGAGTGAAATATGTATTTGCATGCATGTCGCTTCGCTCACGTACCATAACAACAAGCACATGTGAGATTTCACACATCCTGCTTCCTCCTTCTGCCAAACAGGAAGACACGCTTCCGTCTCCTCGGAAACGGAAGCGTGTTACACGAGTTCCAGCTGATTGGCGAGATTTAAACAGACAGCGCCGCTTTTCACACAGACACAGAGGAGCTGTACTAAACGTACGGATACATATTATATGCAAACGTTTCCGTTAGAGTAATAACAGGCAATAAGCTAAAGCTAATAATGTTTTTGATTTTTTTTTTTGTACTATACATAAAATACCGTTTAAATCTCCTACAAGAAAATCCACGTCTTTGAATGAATCAATCATTATCACATGCAGTGTATATTTCACTGAGAAATCGCTGAATGAAGTGCAGACTTTTGAAAACGTACATATAATAAAAGAATAAGAACACAATCCCCATAACGGTGCCACGTTGAAAAGTTGTTAAATCACAGAAAAAGTACATTTTCTCAAAGGACGTCAGTTTATTATAAATTTCATTTTATTTCCTGCTCGTTTCCATGGTGGCATTTCATTTAGTTTCGTTTGTATTTCGTTTATCTGGATGAACTAAAATAACTGAAACATTTCAGTTTGAAAAAAAGTTATGAAAGCTATAAAAAAAAAACCTGAACTAAAACCAGAAAAGAGAAAAATACGAACAATTTCAAAGTAAAAAGAGAAGATAATCTATAGTGTCCAATCACAGCCATCATCTGTATGCCGATGCTTATTTCCTCACCGCAAAGAGCATCTTTCAATTGTGTTTGTTATAAAGTGTGTGCATCCCTCCTTTTATCTTTCTCTGTGTGAGGTGAAGGCACCTTTTCAGATGATGATGTATAGTGTCCATATATTCAGTAATGGTACAAAAGCCTATCAAAGGACTTGGTCTGTGCACATAAAGCAGCTATAGCGACGTAGCCGCATTGATTGAGCTTCCACCTCAGTCACTGTGAACATGTCGCTATCAGACAAGCTCTTTTCTCCTCTATGGATGGCTGTGTCACATTGGTAATTACAGTCTATATGGGGAGGATTTGTTTATGTAAATATGTGGGTTTGATGCATGGCGCCCTCTCGGATATGTCTCCTATCAGAGCGGCGTCTCTTTCCTCCTGTCAGAGTCACCTTAACAGAACCACTGGGCCTGAACCTGACAGCAACAGCTCGACAGATGAGAGTGTGTGTGGGTTTTTCGCATTTATTTTTTTGTCGTCTCTCACTTTCTTTTTCTCCTGCACTGGTAGCATAGAAGGATTGTGGTCCTCGGGAAAGGCCCTGGGGCACCAATGTCTTCGGAGACACAATCATGAGATAAAATGCCCAAATAACAAGAAACTACATTGCAAATATGAGAAATCAAGTAGTAATTATGAAAATGAACACTGTACAACAGACAACAATGTAGTATAACTAATACATAACATCACATTTTCGATAAGGAATTTAGGAAGAAATGCTATTTGCCATTTTTTCCTTTCTTTATATGAAAGTAAAGTTGTTTGTCTATCTATATTTACTGTTTTCAGCATGTTTTCAGGTGTCTCAGCTGGAGGCCTTGACCTTGAGATGACACCAGTCCAACTGGCTTGTTTCATAAGCCGTCTTTCATTGGTGGAGTGTAACAAATGTTCTGCAAACGTTCAAAGTTGAAATTGAGTTATTTCAATAGAATCAGACTTCGCAATGGGTACAAGTTGGTCACACGGATTTGCCATGTTGAGCAACAAAATGTTTCTTTGTTTGAAAGTAGTGCTGCACCAAATTTTATGTATGTAATGTAATGTATGTATGTATGTACCAAAACACAGAAACTGGAATCAAAGTTTATATTTAGCTACAAAACTGAAACAGGAAATTAAGTTTTTGTTACTAAATTTACAAAATTGAACTCAGTATGCTGTTCAGGATATGCTGTTGATAAATCATGTCATAGTCTTTTTTTTCCATCAGTGAGCTGCCTCTTGATTTTCCAGGTAATCAAAAATGATATATTGCTAATCAAGTATATTTTTGGTTGTAGACCTGTTGTAGCTTATCGACATTTTGTGCACTACATGGATGCTGACAGAGTGAAAACGTGGCATCGGAGAAACTTTATTTATTCATTCATTCATTTGTTTGATTGTTTGTTTATTCGTTTTAATTTTATTTATTCATTCATTCATTTATTTTATTTTTTACTTTTTTAGTTTTGGCCGAATATTTTCAGTTAGCTAAATTTTGATGCATTACTGTTTCAATCCAGGCAAGTCACCGTTTTATAGTGCTATATAAAACAGAGATTGTTTCAAAGCAGCTTCACGGTATTACACAGGAAAGTAAAACATAATTATGCAAACGTCAAAAATAAGGCAAACACAATAGTGTCATTATTCAGTTCAGGTCAGTTTAGTGTTGATTTAATTCAGCTATAACTGTGTAAAATTAATTCATTACAAAACAAGTTCAATCCAGCGATAAGCAACTCTACTAAAGACAGCAGTGTCTTTATTCAGCTCCAGTCATTTGAGTGTTGATTCATTTCAGTTCAACAGCTGTGTTGATGTTGCAAAATTCATGAATTATGAACGAATTTGATTAAACAATAAAGCAGCTCTACAGAAGACAATGTCATCATTATTTAGCTCAATTCAGTTCAAGTTATGTTCTCATCTGAGTGTCAGTGCCGTCAAATCGACATTACTCAATATTAAATGTCTTTTAGACCACAACTAAGCAAGCCAACGACAATGGTGGCAAGGAAACTAAACTCCATCAAGTGACAGAAAGTGACTAATTTAAAATGACTTCTGTGTGAACTGTGCTTCATACACTGTTACTTACGGTGGCCCAGTTGTGCACAACACAACGAAATTAAACAAGCAAACATAAGCTCACAATACAACAAAATTAAAAAAGCAAACATAAGCCCAGTAGTGCACAACGCAATGAAATTAAAAAAGCAAACAATCTCACAACACAACGAAATTAAAAAAGCAAATTTAAGCTCACAACACAATGAAATAAAAAAGCAAACATAAGCTCACAACACAACGAAATTAAGCCACAACACAACGTAAATACTCCCGAACACAAGGGGGCAGTTGGTCTGAAGAAACGGGCAATTGTGCGCAAGAGCAAAGCTAAACTGTCCAAATCGAAAATAATATTGATTTATTTTCTGCTCGATTCATGAATCGATACATTAAGATTACCAGGATATCAAAACATTCAGTAAAAACACGTTGTTCATTTAAAAATCTATTACACAAGATCAATCACTTACATTGAGAATTTCTTGTGGTATCTCGAGGAAATATCGGTGTTTTCGTGTTCGGGAGCATTTCCATTGTGCTGAGGCTTAATTTCGTTGTGTTGTGAGCTTATGTTTGTTTGTTTTTTTATTTCGTTGTGTTGTGAGCTTATGCTTGTTTTTGTTTTTGTTTTTTCACTGTGTTGTGAGCTTATGTTTGCTTTTTTAAATTTGTTGTGTTGTGAGCTTATGTTTGTTTTTTTTATTTCACTGTGTTGTGAGCTTATGTTTGCTTTTATAAATTTGTTGTGTTGTGAGCTTATGTTTGTTTTTGTTTTTTTTTATTTCACTGTGTTGTGAGCTTATGTTTGCTTTTATAAATTTGTTGTGTTGTGAGCTTATGTTTTTTTTTTTTTTTTTTTTTTTTATTTCACTGTGTTGTGAGCTTATGTTTGCTTTTATAAATTTGTTGTGTTGTGAGCTTATGTTTTTTTTTTTTTTCACTGTGTTGTGAGCTTATGTTTGCTTTTTTAAATTCGTTGTGTTGTGAGCTTATGTTTGCTTTTTTAATTGCGTTGTGAGCTTATGTTTGTTTTTTTTCACTGTGTTGTGAGCTTATGTTTGCTTTTTTAATTGCGTTGTGAGCTTATGTTTGTTTTTTTTCACTGTGTTGTGAGCTTATGTTTGCTTTTTAATTTCGTTGTGTTGTGAGCTTATGTTTGTTTTAGTTTTTTTTTATTTCATTGTGTTGTGAGCTTATGTTTGCTTTTTTAATTGCGTTACGTTGTGCACTACTGGGCCACCGTAGTTACTCCATTGACAATAGTCAAACAATAGACCTTTTTTGCCCATGAAATTTCACTAATGTGACTGCACCATAAGACTGTACAGGAAATATGAGCACACTCTGAAGCGCCAGAAGGAAACAACCCAGGCAAATGTCAAACGGCCTCAGTCTCTCATCTCTGGTCAGTCATTACTTCGGCGCTACAAACAAATAACAAATAATGGAGAACTCATGGAAAACACAATATTTACAAATGTCAGGGACGTGCACAAATGAACAAGAGAGAGGGAAGGCGAGGGTCGGGGAGGAAGAAGTGAAGACGCTAATAGTTTTTTCAATGTTTAATTTTCAAATAGGATTAAGCAGAATGACATTTAGCTGAAGGTTACTCGCCCGGTGCTTGCTGTCGTTGTCCTAGCTGATATTGATATTCAGGCGGTGGTCTGCAGCTTGTCAGTGAGACAAACATGCTTGATGAATGAGAACGTGAGCCACAGGGAAGTGTTAAGCGCAAATTTGAAACTGGGTCGAGGTTTTTTTTTTTTTTCAGGAGAGAATATGTAGATACATGGTAAAATTACCTAGTAAACACCTCAATAACTTCCGTTAGTGTCCACCTATGATGTTAAGAGCATATATCTTAAGTACCTCCGTTTATCAATGTCAGCGTAGAATCTCTAACTTTTGGGGGTACAGTATGGATGCACACCTGCAAAGAACAGTAGAAAATCAAAATGTGTCAATAAAGTAAAAATTTCCCATTCAGGTCATCAATCAAAAAGTACAGGTGTAATATCGTCGAGCCTCGTCTCGGTTTTTCACTATGTGACAAGACGTGGTAATAAGTCAAACCTGAGCCTCTTTTTCATATAGTGAATATCTAATGTGTCCTCACTGAGTTTCCAGTCTTTTAATGTTTCCAGACAAATACTAAGTGTCAGGCAGGTAATTCAGCAGGCTTCTCTATCTTAATAAGCCCGGCGTGATATGGTCTTTCAGTCTTATTGCGCAGCTCATTTTTCATGCATTAATACCACTCTTGCTGAC